ATTCCTTAAAATGAAAAAATGTCGGTAACTACCGCCACTATAGAATCCCCTTAAACCATTGACTCATACCGCCGCGTATACCGCGCTCCACGAACATTACCATGTCGATATCGGTGAGCAATTCGAATCGCACCCCCGTGTGCTTCACCATCGCGTCCCACGTGTATCCCGGTAGAGTGTAGTAATGCGCGAGATTCAATCCATAAGTGTCGATACAGGTGTCGCAAAAATTTTCGAAGACATCCGCCAGGAGAAGCACGTCCGTTTTAAGATACAGATCGCTGTACTCGCCGAGATTTCCCATACGAAAACAACGCCAGACATTCCGCGCGTGCTCGTAATCGCTATCGGTCGCGGTCTCGTCGGTCAACGAACTGTAAAAGGCCTCGTGCGGTGGTAATTTCGTCACCAGCAGCTTATCGAAGCCGTCGACGTACTCGTATGGAAATACGCCTTTACGCGTGAGCAGGTTGAAATCGCTTTCGCTCAGTTCCGAAAATTCCGAACGCGTAATTCTCAGCTTGTTTCTATCGAGATACGACGCCAATTTCTCGTGACTGGTGCTGAGAAATTTGAAGGAATCCACAAATCGCAACTTCGTGCAGTTTCCCCAGTTGGCGTCCTTAACATTCTTCGTGAACGATATGTACGTCTCTTTGGTGAGCGGTAATAAATCGATGCTACCTTCGAAGCTATTAGCTATATCCTTAATAATAAAATGAGCGTCGTATCCGGACAAATTGTGAAAGAAAACGGGAATAACGTACGAGTATCTGTAATTTAGATTACAGCGCGGGACCTCTGTAACTTCCGGTCAAGTGACAGTGATCGCGCACGCGTCGATTCTCCGATTTGAACGGTCTCTCGCATATGTGGCAGCTCGTCGCGCTCCAAAAATTTTCTGTTTCGTCCGGCGTGAGTTCCGCTATAGTCACGTTCGTCGAGAGTATCGTCTTCGCGCGATGCGCGATAACTTTAAGCTTGTTGACGAACCACGACACGCAGTTCTAGCGTACACCACAAAGGAAAGTCGCTTCTTCCTACTGTGATCGCAAAAAAACAGCCACTTGTCGTCGTCGTTGTTCGGGAGAACGATAGCGCAGTCGTTCATTTTTTCGCAGTCGACGCTGTGAGCGGACAATTTCTCGCTCGAGTACTGTAGATATCTGGAAAAAAATATGAATTATTTTTTTTTTCAGTCCACATACATCTGATTCGCGCGACTCTTTTTTTATACCTACCAATCGCACATGTTTTTCATATTCTCGTTCCTGTTCAACTGAGACCCCACCAATCGCGACAGATTCTTTATCCACACGAAATCACCGACGTTCGAGTTGTTTCGCGAATCTAACAGATTCAACAGATTGACGTGACTGTCCTTCTTATCGTCGGTCAGCCGCAAAGGAACGATTTCGTTTTTGTTCCGTTCCTTCCGCCAAGTGGTGAAAACATTGACGGACACGTCGTTGAGTCGTTCGAACCTCGAAATTTGCCTCAGAGTCATAAGAAACTCGATTCCGTTGAGATTCAGTATCGTCGAATAGTGGGGGTACGCGCTACTCCTGTCCGCGTTTCTTTCAACGGGATACAGAGCGGAGATTATCGCTCACGCGAAACACGCGTTGTCCGACGAACGCAGCGTGCATGGGATTGCACTTGTTCATGTTTACCATCAGGTTCAATATACGCGACAATGCCCAACCACTGTCGCGTTCCTGAAACTCATCCAGATCGCCAGAGTGGCATCGATCACGTATCTGTCGTACCACTCTCGCAAATCGGACATAGGAAAGAGCTGGCGATTTCTCGTGGCAACGCTTTTGACGGCGGTTTGAGCTCCCGCGACGACCATTGAAAACCGCCATTGAAAACCGTGTTGACCTTTAGGCACACGTGTTTCTCGTGATTGACGCGCACTTGTTCGAGCACCGTGTCCCTCGCGTCCTCGAGAAATAGTCGAGGATTGACATGATTTGAGTTTATTACCGCACCGGTCAGTACGTGACTGTCGAAAGCCGTCTTAATCTCCGTCCACGAAAATCCTTTGCTTGGTTCACCGTGACCGTCACCCACCTGCGCGAAACGTTGACGCAGAGCGTTTTTCGCTTCTTCCAATCGCGCCACTCGAGCGATAAGAGAATTCAACGTTCCGGTGTATATCGGCCAAGGTTTTTCAGGTTTTTCGGCATCTTTCTCGCAAGACGCAAGACGGTCGTCGCACCGTCATTCCCACTCGCGATACGCGTCCGGCGAGTCGACGCCCGTGGCGAGTTTGACGAGATCGCGATCCTCCTTCTGCATATTTTTTGATCGCTCAAAGACGTTTCTACGCGTAATGACACGTGCTCAGCCACATGGTCCAATCGTTGCTGTCTAGAGGTATACTGAATTCTTCGACAAATCTCCTTCAATCTCTCGAAAGACGATTCTCTCTGATCTCCCTTCGAAAACTTCCACACGAATTCCACGCATGTAAGACTTCGCTCTGGCGCTCTGAGCCACTACAGTTTTTATCTACATTTTCTTACGCGGAGACTGAAAACCGATCTCTCTTCTCATTGTCAGACTGTACGTCGTCAGATTCTATCGAGCGTTCTCCTTTAACGCGATCGCTTCGCGTTCGTGGGAGATCGGCAACGAGGAGTCGTCGAATTCGACGCTGTCCGTGTCGGACGACAACGACTCGCTGCAATATATCTCAAAATTGTCCGATAATGAGTCACTGTAAACTATCCAGGCCGGACAGAATTTCGAGATTGAGAGAGACCTCATCGTCCTCCTTCTTCTGATCCATCGTCGGCACGCCAGATAACGACTCAACGCCTCTGACCTGCGTCGCGATGTCTAGTTCAGCTTACATTTTTACAGACTTACTGAGATCTTCCACCCGCGTCGCGATTGGTCGGTGGCAATCGGAGAAAAAAAAGTAACGCATCGCTCGATACGTCGGTCAATCGTTCTTCGGTCGGGCGGTGACGCTTATTGCTTCTCGAGAGGACGAGGAGGGAAACGCACCGTTCATTTCCGCCCCTCTCGCCAATGTCGCTCGCGCGCGTAATTACGTGCGTGATTATTACCGTCGTAGCGGTAAATTGTAATTTGAATCAAGACGAGACTGTGATCCATTATCTGCAAAAATATGGCTATCTGGATAACAACGGTGTACAGCGATTTTCATCATCCAACAACACTACGCAGGAGTTCCATCGAGCCATCTCGCTGTTTGAAGAATTCTATCAACTATCCGGCAACGGAATTAAACGAAAAGACGCTGAATCGAAGCTTACAAAGTTCGTCCCGCTTTTGGACAAATGGCCGAGGAAACATCTCAGATGGAACTTCCACCTGACGAACGACAGGATCTTGAATACGGCCCGAGTCGCGTTCGATCTGTGGGCGGCGAATTCGTCGTTGACGTTCGAGAGCGATTTGCTAAATCCCGACATTCTGATATCGTTTTGTGAGAGACGTCACATGAAGCTAAACTCCCGACGAAACAAAATGTGTTCGGATTTGTTTGACGCTCACCCCACGGGGTGATCGCTCACGCGTTCTTTCTCACCGGAGAACACAATTTCATCTCGAAAGTGCACGTGGACAAAACAGAGACGTGGCACATACAGCTGAATAAGCATCCCCCGGGAAGGTACAATTTACTTTACACGCAGAAAATTTTTCTCGTAAATACAAGTATACACGAACAAAGTAAATACTGTTACACGCCGACGAGCGTTCGTCACACTATTTCTCACTTTCACACTCGCGGCGCGTGTCACGACACTCTCGCACAAATAAGATGACTCGTTTAGAAATCAGTAGCTCTTTATTACGACTCTCGATATATTAGAGGAGCTCGGGACGATACGTCCGAACGAGACGCGTCCCAGAGTAAATCTGAACATCAAGTAAAACAGGAAAATCAATAGTTAATTGAGCATCTCCAATCAATATTAGTAAACAGCATCCGTCGCTAAGGACGGTTCGCGACGCGACATTAAATAACGGGCGACTCGCATATACGCGCGACACGAGGACAGCACGGGCGTAACAATACCATATTAATCTTGCACGGCTAGGATATAATCATAATATGTAAAAGATTTCAAGAAAGTATAGGAAAATTTAGAGAGCAAAGAATAAAACTATACGCAGAAGTAAATATTTCCATCAAGTATGGGACTTTCGGGAGCGCGTTTTACTATGTTAATTTAAAGACGGATGATTCAATTATATCTTGTCCGATTGTATCTTATCCCGAATATGGCTGATGAACAAAAAACGAGACGTCTGTCGCAGTCATGTCAAAAACATAAGTTGCCGTTATAGGCTGTGGCGGTCAGCTGTCCGCCACGAGCAAACTTAAGAACGCTGTAGGGACTCTCCCGAGCTGCCCTAGATATAAAGGTCGATGTTGAATCTTAATCACGCGAGAATATACCGGCGATGCGCCGCGTAGCGGGCGCGAGCCGAACCTCACGCTGCGCGAGCCCGCGTTGCCGCTCGCGCCGCGCGCCTTCCGTCGTCCACGATCGCGGTTACTATCACATTTCTATGAAGAACATAGACTATTGCCAGATACGCAACGAATATTTCTATACAGTTCACAGTAGGTACCAGCCTAGATTATATTTTTCCTATACTGTCTTAAAAAACAACGCTCAATCTAAGACATCTGTGAAATTGGCAATTCAAGCTACAACGTCGAATATGCACATACTAGTATGGGACTTTTTTTACTGTTCTCATATTTCCTTGTTAGTATGGTAAATTTATTTACCTTTAGGTTACAAGATGTATCTGATCAAACTATTACTTTTCTATTGTCATATATTAATTTCCGGTTGAATACGCGTATATCTTACCGGTACGTAGCAAATCTAGTAAATTTTATTATGAGTATTCTACATTATTCGAGAAAAATTTTCTGCGTGTACACGCTAACGCACAAGATTGGTCACGCTTTAGGCTTGGTGCACAGCCCCCGCGAAGATTCGGTGATGTACGCAATTGTGCCTGATAATACATTCCTCGTTCAACTCAGTCTAGAAGACGTTCTTTCCATTCAACACCTGTACGGCGCTAAAAAAGACACTAAATTTCCAAAATTAATAACCAATACACCGACGACTACCACAACGACGATGACGACGACTACGAAAGACGTCGAGACGGATCTGTGCATTTTGCGAAACGTGGATACCGTACTGATAATGAACGGTCGATTGCACATCTCGCACGAACGGTACATGTGGTCGATCGATATAGACGGAAAAACTTACAAGAAACCCTTGCTATTGACGGACTACATGAAATTTTTTCCTAAGAATTTCACGCGTCTAACGGCAGGGTATCAGGCGCCCTCGGGCAATATCGTGCTGTTCGCGGGCAATATGAGCTACATGATCACTTATCCGCGTGTAACGCTAGTGTCAACTTGGCCGAGACCTGACACAGATCTCGGAATTCCCGATGCAAACGCGAAGATCAACGCCGTGCTGAACACGAACGAAGGACATCATGTACAACGATAATTTGGTGGGCAAGATAGACGATTGTTCAATGAATATCGTTAAGTTCTACCACATTGACATGATATTTCCGGGAATACCTTACAGCGTATCGTCGGCCTTTCGATACATCGACGACTGCGGACGGCGCAGGATCTAAAATCGCGCTAGGCGCTGCTCTCCACGCTGCGCTACGCGCTCCGCTCTTCTCTTTTACTCCGTGTGGTCGATCTACAAACCTCCGGCGTCCAGCTTTTTCGTGGGGGGGGGGGGAAACCCTGAAACACGCATATTTCCGTGGCTTGCCTTTTGACCGCGCGGCCCGCTGCTAAACGTGGGTAACACACTACAGAACCCTATACCGCCTACTGTCCGCCGGAGTTACCGAGTGCCACACGCAGTAGTAGTCACGGTCAGGGAGGAGGGTCGCCCGCCGTGTCGTCTCTCGCGCGCTCGGATAGTCTACTCGCTCGTCGCGCGGTGTCTCCTCTCTCGGTTCGCGCGCGTGCACCGTACACCGGATCCTGCGGGTCTCACATCGCAATATACCGTCGCGTCGCGTCGCGTCGCGTCGCGTTCAAATCTCGCGTTCGTCTTCGCCCTCGTCGACGTCACGCGCGCGACAGATCGTCGTTTCGAGACGAAACGTGAGCGCGCGTGCGCGCGCGTGCGGGGGGCCGCCCGGTGTTAGAATCCCGTGCGGCGACGTGTGTAAAAAGGCGGCAACCGCGGAGCGCCCGGAGGTAACGTATATCTCTCTCGCGCGGAGAAAACAACGCCGCGCCGCGCGCGGGTCGTGGCAACGCCGCCGCCGTGCCGTCGCGCACCGTGTGCATCACGCGCCGCGCGTCTTTTCGCCGTGATACGCCGGAACACCCGCGCGAAGGTGTGCGAGCGGCGCAACGGTGAATAGTGCTCGCGTCGTGGCGCCCGTCGTCGTCATCTTCGTCGTCGGGCGTCATTGTGGTCGTTGCTCTCTCTCTCTCTCTCTTTCTCTCTCTCTCTTCCTCCCCCCCCTCCACCCCTTGATACCTCAATGAACTCGGAGAGAATGTAAACGTGGTTCTGTCAGTGAACATCGTCGTCGTCGATCGGTGATCATCGGTTGTGTGTCGAAACAGTGAAGTAGAACCCGGGACGTCTTTCTCGAAAGCGTCACGTCGCGTCGCGTCGCGCCGTGTGCCCCCGCGTGTGCACCGGATGTGAAGGAGAGTGGACAGAGAGCGACTTTGCGCAGCGGATCTCCCCGAGAAGAGGTAACTCACGGATCGTGTCTCGATGCGGCACTCTCGGCTGCCAGGCCTCGCGAACAACGCGACGCTCTAGGTATTTCTCCTCTCCCCCTCTCTCTCTCTCGCCGAGATAACCTCGCCAGTTGTTGACACCGCGTTGCGGAGGTCAAACCACGTGCCCGAGCGTAAGCTCCCGTCGCCTGTGACATGCGGGATTGACGAGAGGAGTCTCTCGCTCCTAACACCCCGAGCTGGTGCGCCCAGAGTACACCTGTGTTATCCAGGACGTCCGAGGTGGAGTGTCGCCGCGACGATGATGAGGAAGCACGCGCAGCCGGGCCCAGCCGTCGCCGTCGTCGCCGTCGTACGAGTCCTACTACCGCAAACGTTACCCGCCGCCGCCGCCGAGCACTGCTGACAACGCACGTCCGCAACAGTTTGAATTTTGAGCGTCGGGCCGCCGCCGGTTTCGTCTCCGAACGACGCCGTTCTCGCGTGTGGTGCGTGTATGTGTGAGTCTCGGAGAATACAGAAGACGAGACAACAAAAGGAAAAGGATCCCGCGAAGAGAGACCTACGGAAAGAAAACGGAGAGAGTGACAGAGCGAGAGAGAGGGATCGGCAAGCGGAGAGCGGAAGCGGAACAGGCCGACGGGCCGGCGATTGTCGAAACCGAGTGGCGTCGGTCCGCGCGAGTGACGGCGCATTCCGACGGTAATCTATACTTCATCAGTAAAAACCAATTCTACAAATTCAACGAATTCACGAAAACCATAACGACATCCAGCAAATTTGATCTGGGGATCTTTGGTATTACCTGCCCGAGAGAGGGACTGATGATCCAACTGCAAGATCTATTGAGTCGATTCGTTCAAATTGACGCGAGGGAGACGTCGAATAGAAAAGAGGAAGAATAGAACGATTCGACGTAACCCTCCCTTTTTGCGTGCCGCTCTTGAGAATATTAATGAAAGGAGAGTAATCGTAATTTATTTTTTCAAACTATCTTTTGCCTCGACTTCTCTCAAACGACTCATTCTCGTGTGATCAGTCAACCGCACCGCGACAACGGAAAAAAACATAAAGAGAGAGATGTGCTCGACGTTACACGCCCCGTATTTTGAACAGCGCCAATCCGACGACAATCTCGAGAACGGTGTCGGTAGCGCGAAAAAAAGAAGAAGAAGAGTCAACGAACAATCGACGGAATTAGAAACTCCGTTCGGGGCAACGTCGACTCCTGGAAAAACACGTAGTGAGTTTGCGACGATCCCATATCGCTTGCTTACGATCTAAGAATAATGTTTTTTATCTCTCGCGAGAACGACGAATTTTTACAGTCGAAGTGTCTTCGCGGAAAATAAGATCGCCGTCAAGTTCTGCCGACAAAATCGAAGCGTCTTCGCGGAAAATAATATCGCCGTCGAGTTCCGCAGCCTTCAAGTGAAGTTGAAGAAACCCATCTACGCCGATATGTGAATATTTTTGAGTAAAAATAATGATATTTTTGTTTTTACTTTCTCCAATTTTTTGTTTATACTCAAAATTACATGTTATCAAATTAACCTACAGTGTTTTCGTGCAATGTTACATGAGGTAAACACCGTGTTCTAGTTAATTTCTACCTTATGGAGTTCTGTCGGAGGTCGGAGTGAGGAAGCGGAACGCATAGGGAATGTAGTAAGCGGTGGGCGAGGGGATGGCGTCGGCAGAGGAGCAGCGGACACGCGCGAGACGCGTGATCGCGACTACTTTCCTTCCTAGGGTGGAAAGTGAGGCGGTGCCCCTCTGCCGACGCCATCCCCTCGCCCACTGCTTACGGCATTCCACTTCTTCATCCCGCCCCCCGACAGGCACTCCGTGAGTCAGAACCCTCACAGCTATCCTACTGGCATACCATACGCGTTATCTACCGCGTAATCACTCTGTCGAACCTGGCTATATCACGTTTCATGTTCTCGTACGCATCTTCGTACTTGATATGATAAATTAGACTATTGGTGTTGGTGTACATAATTCTACACATGTCGCGGTACAGGGGAGACATGTACTCGTGGTGTAATTCGTATAGGCACACCTTCGACATGTCGAGGATGCACATGCCGACGTAGATCGGTTTGTCGAATTTTACCTGGAGTTTGCGCAGTTCAACGGCTACCAAATTTTCCGAAAACACGCTCCTGCTGTGGAAATTTGGTCGCGCGATCATTGCCCTCACGGCGTATCGTTTGTCCCATTTTGTCAATAATTTTACGTCAACGTGATTGCGTACATTTTCCATCGTTTTCCCGAAAACAGCATTATTCATCAATTTGTATAAATTTTTCTTGAACTCATTTTTGGCCAGTGTTCTAAATTTTGTATTGAGTTCAATGTAAGTGCGGAGCCACGCAGATTGAGCGAATTGCAATACGCCATGTATCTTTGTGACGCAAAGGCCGTGGTGCGTGCACTGCTGCAGGTTGCGATAATGGATGACATAACGCTTCTTATCGTACAGCGTGGCGAAAAGTTTGTCCTGCCATGCCGTTTGTCGGGCGGTTTATCGCGCGTCGGACAGAACGGTAGATCAGCGTGCGCGTCGTGTTTATTCTGCGGATACTCTAGATCGACCTCGAGAATATAACCCGTAGGCAAATCCGAAGCAATCGCACTAAAGTCGAAATTCGAAACGTCTTCGACCTATCGAAAATCTGCATAGTGCAGTGGCTGACACATCGCCCAGCCGTACAAGTTATTTACATCGAAATACATCAGGTACGATGACGGTTTCGATGGATCGTACGACTGTATGTACTTGTTGTTGGCCCGCGCGTATCTGTTTGAACATTGATTCAGGCCACCGCGAATATTGCGTTCGATAAACATGACCATGTCAATGTCAGTGAGCAGTTCAAAATTGACACGCGTATGTTTCAACATGGCGTCCCACATAAAACCTGGTAAAGTGTAGTAGTACGCGGGATCAAGTCCATAACTGGCGATACAACTGTCGCGGAAATTTTTAAAAACGTCGGCCAATAACAAGACATTAGTTTTGAGGTATAGATCGCTGTATTCGCCCAGGGTTCGAACGGAGAATCGCTGCCAAACGTTTGCGGCGTGCGCGTAATCGCTCTCGGATACGGTGTCACCGGTCAAAAAACTGTAAAATGAATCGCGCGGTGATAAACACGAGTCTTCCAGCTTGTTCACGCAATCCACGTATTTGTATAAAAAGACACCTTTTTGCGTCAATAATTCGAAATCGTGGTCGGATAACGCGAAAAATTTGGAACGTCTAATTTTTAATTTATTATTATCGAGGAAGGATGCCAATTTTACGAGACTCATGCTAAGAAATTTGTACGAATCGACGAATCTTAACTTTATGTCGCTTCGCGAATTTGATCTTTCGGCGGTATCTTTAACGTGTTTTGTGAATGAGATGTACTTTTCTTTTATTATCGGTAGTACATCGATCGAGCCTGCAAACGCGGTAGCTATCTCCGTGATAATAAAATGCGCATTGTAGCTCGATAAATTGTGGAAAATTACGGAAATGTAGTGAGAATCTTTATAATTTAGGTTGCAGTTTGAATGTGCGGGACCTCTATAACGACCGGTCAGGTGACAATGATCGCGTACGCGATTATCATTCGGCGCGAACGTTTTTTTGCAAATGTATCAGTCTGTCGCGCTGTGAAATGTCTCCCACTCGTCTCGCGTTAAATTTACCATGCAAACATTATCGGACAAGATAGTCTTTACGCAATGCGCCAGTCTTTTGAGATCCTCGGCGAACCACGCGAC